AAAAAAAAAGATATGTAATGCCACCATTAACACTCACATGACCTGAGGTGTGAATGACTGTGAACCTGTGAGGTCGGAGATGACTCAAGGTGTTAATAGTGGTGAAATATTTCTGGGGGGAGATCTCAAGAGTGCTTTCTAAGTACCTGATAAGTGGTGTCGTAGTCAGCGTACAGATGGTTGCTCATTATCACTTCAAAAGTATGTGAGTCTTGGGTTGTTAAAGGGCCTTTAGCCACGTACACATGTATATGTCTGGAAGTCCCCATCGGTCAGTTAGAAGTAAAAAGGCCCCTTAGACGAGGCGGGAAACATCCAGTTTTCCTCTACGGAAGCTCTTACGAAATTGAAATGGCAGAATGCGGCGTTATTAAACGGTTGCGTGACACTGCAGGGGCTAGAAAACGCTGCTCAGCCTGACGTTATATAATGCAATAGACAAGGACTATGCAGACCCAACAACAGCATCACGAGGCAGCAGTGGCGCACAAGCATTACCTGCCACTCCATTTAGAAAAACGCACGCTCTCCATGATACAGCCCGAGCATTACTCTGATCCAAAACACGCACCGTCACGTAATGTCTGTCACAACCCACCAATTATGTTAACAAGTAGATGGCACACTGTGCTGCTGATTTAAAGTGTAAAGCATCAACCCACAGGGATCAGAAAAGTGAACCAGAAGCTCTCAAAACCTGAGGGCGCTGTCGGCATCGATGCTGAGAGAGGGGAGATCTTCTTGGTGGGCTTGATTGGATCCAAGAAATTACTAAGTAGGGACTTTTTTAAGTGTTCTGATGCCTTTTAATTAACTGTGTCAGACTGACATGAATATATATTACATGGGCCGTATCCTCTCACCAGAAAGGACATAAAAATTAACCTGTGTAAAGAAAAATGACGAAGAAATGTTGTGTTTTTTCACCTTGATGTATGGCTCAGTTCCCCATAGAGTTGATGAAATGAGGTAGAAGCAACATCAGTGTTTCACCACCTGAGTATTGTGTGTGACAGTAAAATTGGTGAGAATGTTGAGGTTTTAAAAGTATATGAGATTTAGTTTGTTTAAATCGCTGTATTGTGTTGTTTTAGAAGCTCACAGAGAGCTGCTCTGACCGTCGGTAACACAATTATGTACAGGTATACGGAGGATCTGCAGGAATGTTATCTGGTAGGCAGACTCTGTAGCACTGCCTTATGTAACAGGAGTGTCTCTTCTTTCCTAAAATGAGTAATGCCGCTAAAAGGCCATTGGGATAGCAGGAGAGAGAGAGAGAGAGTGGTGGAGCATCTTTAACCTGCTCCCCACCTACCCACAAAAACACCTACTCTCTCTTTTCTAACTCCCAGTATCATATGGCTCTCCAGAATCCTGGCTGTCTTTCGCGGTAGAAGTTGTACCACAGATCTGAATCCTGGAATTCCTTATGCCGCTGTTGTTATTTATAAACCGTCATAAGTTTCGAAGCCCCCCTCCAGTCTGCCACTGCAGGAGGCAGTCAATCACCGCGTCAGCTGTTTGTTTTTGTCATTGAGGCCTCGACTTGAGATACAAAACTTGAATTTTAATGGGGAGAGACAAGTGTTAAGAATCTAAGGGTGCACTTGGAAATGTAAATATATTCCTCGCTGATGCAGGAGCAAAACGCATGAGGATGAGGGGGAGCTTGAATCAAAAATAGAGCTTAGGTGCATCCTGAAAATGGATTTGCTTTAGATAACAGGTGAGGTGCCTTCATTTATACCAATACCTTAGATCAAACAGCATTAAGACATGTCACTTCCTGGTGACTTGTCAAAGCAGCTCAACAACCACAAGTCATCAGTTTATGTGCATTCTGCAAAATATGTTGTTCTGCCTTAATAACTGCATGTCCATGTGCTTGACACAGCTGGTTCTGACATCTGGGATTCTGATCCACCTCTTAAAGAACAAGCATGTGTTTGGTACCATTTGAAGGAAGAAGCTCCAGCAAGTGCTTTCGTGCAAATTAATCTCCCAATATGCATCTTTAAAGCAACCTTGAGGATCATTTTCACATCTGTGAGACTCTGGAGTTGGTTGTAATTTAGTTGTTGCAGCAAAACTTAAATTAGAATGTTATGAGTTCAGTCTGTACGATCATATTCTAAGTTTTATTGAGTCTTCTTGGCTTTCTATCAGGTCTTCTTCTGATCTCTAACTGAGAGTACTCTCTGCATTCATTGTTACTTCAGGGGATCTTCTGCTGGGAGTCATCATGTACACCTCTGATTCAGTTCATCAGATTATTTTATTTTATTTTTGAAGTTTCGTCATGATGAGAAATCAGTTTAAGTTGCCACTTGCATTGCCAGTCATTTGGAAATACATTATATTCACATGGAATTAGACAATCATCGTGTCCGTCAGATAAATAAGAAACCAGTTAAAACCAGCACACCGCAGCGCTTTAGGGGACACAATATACAGGATCCCTTTAAGAACTAACCGCTGCTACAGATCTTCTTTGCCTTGTATTCAGAACGTAATATATTACATAAAAATAACTGTGACTCTTTTTTTTTTAGTTCCGTTTGAACAGAAAACATGCAGTTTTATTCCCCTAATGTGATCTATATCAGTTGTAATTATCCACAATGGGGCTTTATTGTCTGTGATACAGTAAAAGCATACGCAAAGCTGGGATCTGCGTCATTCAGCTCACAGGCAGTACCTCACTGTGCTTCTCAGAAACTACTCAATGCTCTGCTCATCCCTAGGTTACCATGGCTGCATCTAGTTAATCCAGCATTTGTAAGTCTATGAATGGACTCGAACGTCTCCTCTGCTTCACCGTTTCAACGTGTCTGTCTTTTCGTCTGTACACTGTCATTAGCGGTGCATTTCAAACAGTACACTATGTTTACATCACATCAGGTCTGAATTGATCCCGGGGCATTGTCTCTGGTTTTAGGAATGGATGGTGAATCGTCACAACAGACTGACTAAACTGCACCTCCCCATTGGCCAAACAATATCATCTAATCAGCAGATTGTGTTCATTGTGTCAGGAGAATGGAATTTCTTTTCTTTTTTTTTTGCAGAGCAAGATTGGCTGTAAACTCATTTTCTGGTCAAAATACTTTTTTTTTTTTTTCTGTACAATTCTGTACTCATGCTTGTAAAAGATGAGTCAACTTATATTTTAACTTAGTTGCCATAGAAACCAAAACGAATAGTCATGGGGTCCGTGATGGAAACCTTTGAAGGGCTGAAGGCTT